AAGCCTGTGTGTGATGAGCCCAAATAATGCTTTGAACACTAGAGGATGTACATTGAGTAAAATTAATGTTGTATTCTTGCGAGGTTGCTCAAACTTTTGAGTCTGTGGATGCAGTTGTTAAGGATAGGTGTGGCCAGATTTTTTTCCCTTTAAGCCCTAGTTGTAGAAGTCCTGAAAGTGGGTGGCTGGTGGTGAAGACATAATAGCAAATGAAGTTAACGCTTATCTGTAAACAATAATTTAAATGGGCTCATTCCCTTTTCTTTTTTTTTCTTTAAAGATGGTGCTATAAATGAGTAATTAACAGTGAGTTATCAACGGAAGAGCTCTTTCATTTAACGGAGAATACTGCCATCAGGGGTGTAGCCAATCATATTTTCCCTAAGCCCAAGTTGTAGAAATCCGGAAGGAGATGTTGGGGTGTTGACAACATAGAAGCAAACCAAGATAACACTAATTTGAAGACAGCATCAGCACAGCCTATCCTTTTTCTTTAAAAATATTGCTTTAAATTAGTTTTTAGCAGTGATCAAGTTCTCAACAGATGGGCTTTTTCAGTTCAAGCATTGTTAGCATGTGGGCGGAATATCTGATCATGAATATCCTTTTTAAATTCTTCATAAAGAATTCTATTACAATTATGTTATGTCTCAAGGTTGATAGAGAAGTGAATATCTCTCAGCGTACATTTACATGAGTTCATTTTAACCCAGATTTTTGTTAAGCCTCTGACACTTCATAACATCTGGGTCAGAACTGAGTGAGTGAAATTGCTGCCTCTTTGGCAGCAATTTCTTTCAGTTCTAACCCAGAAATTATTGCTTATCATGAACGAACATGTTAACAGGCCGTTATGAAATTGATTTTTTGTGATGATCAAAATCCACGTCTTCCTTTGCACCCTCTTTACCTTCCTGGCAGGCTGATAGAACATTAATGATGCAGAATTTTCTGCAACACAGATGATGATGTGTTGATTTGAAACATAGTGTTGTAAACTATCAACCTGATTGATGTTTATTCGATCTCAAAAATTGAAAAGAAGCCTAGTACAAACCTTTTGATTCCTTTTTTGTGCTCTTTGGCTTTGGATTATCATCAGCACTATTTTCATTGTCAACATTGTTACCACCATCCTCATCATCACTATCATCATCAGAAGACATCAATTCTACAAAAAGAGAGAAATAACCAAGTCATTCTGTTTGCTCTTCAAGGCTCTAATCCAAAGGTCTTGGCTCAGTCCCAGCATTGGCCTAAAAGTAGTTCAAAAAGTCGTCTTTCTCACTATGTCTGTATCTACATTTATATTCTAAGTTCATGAGTAAGAGACTTTCCATTCTACAACTGTTGAGGCAACTGACGCTGCCATAATTACAAAACATTTTCTTTACCCTTCCTCTGCAGACTGCTTTGTCCTACTACACTCTATTTTACTCATGTATATGTCTCAAGGTGGACAGAGAAGTGAGTATCTCTCTGCAAACCTTTAATGAGCTTATTTTAACGCAGATTTTTGTGAAGCCTCGCACACTTAATTAAAGGCTTAAAGCCAGCTATGTCCCTAGTGTAGAGTTTGACCATTCAAATGATACCTCTGGCAGCAATTTCACTCAGTTCTAACCCAGAAATTATTGCTTATCATGAACAAACATGATAACAGCTTGTCATGAAATTGATTTTTTGTGATTATCAAAGTTCGCATCTTCCTTTGCACCCTCTTTACCTTCCTGGCAGGCTGATAGAACATTAATGATGCAGAATTTTCTGCAGCACAGACGATGATGTGTTGATTTGAAGCATAGTGTTGTAAACTATCAACCTGATTGATGTTTATTCGATCTCAAAAATTGAAAAGAAGCCTAGTACAAACCTTTTGATTCCTTTTTTGTGCTCTTTGGCTTTGGATTATCATCAGCACTATTTTCATTGTCAACATTGTTACCACCATCCTCATCATCATTATCATCATCAGAAGACATCAATTCTACAAAAAGAGAGAAATAACCAAGTCATTTCTGTTTGCTCTTCAAGGCTCTAATCCAACGGTCTTGGCTCAGTCCCAGTATTTGCCTAAAAGTAGTTCAAAAAGTCATCTTTCTCACTATGTCTACATGTACATTGAAAGAGATTTTCCATTCTAGAACTGCCAAAAGTAACTGATGCATAATTACAAAACATTTTCTTTACCCTTTCTCTGCTTTGCCCTATGTGGCATATATATTATTTCATCACCGTCTGAATCAGATGATTGTTGTCCCAGCAATCCTGTAGTTAAAGGAAAAAATAATAATATTATTGAAAGGTTCTTTGTTTTCTAAATAGCGTGTATGAGTGTATGCTATACAAAACACATACCATGGGGCACAAAATTTTGCGGTTTCTAATTTTTGCGATTATTCCAGCGATCAGCAAACATAAGTTCCCGCAAAACTTTACTGCAGAGTAAATATTCTCTAACTTAAATTCACTACACAAAAATACAGTACAGAAATCATGTCTGTCCAATTAGGACTTGTCTCTTTCATTCAGAAACAGTATACAATGAAATACTGACGTACAGTGTAGTATTCTTCGAAAATATATGTTTGTGTTGCACTTCTCAATAAAAACAAAAATATTATCAATGCTGGGTATTGGGTACTTTCTGAAAATTGCAAAAATTGATTCCCAGCAAGAAACACCAATCTTTCCTAATAGCAAAAATTTGTTCCTGCAAAACACAAAATATAGCCGCTCTGCAAGAATAAACTCCAGCAAGAATTTCATGCCACATGGTAGTATAAAAAATAGAATTGTTGATTTGTATGACTGTTTTCTTTCTTTAGAGTTATTAGTTTGATATGTATCTTCATTTAATAGGATACTACACTTTCTGAATTTCATTGTCATCCACGCAACACACAAGAAGCTATCATGCAGGGCAAATTTTTTTTCTATCTGAGCCCGATAGTATTATTTGAAATATTTATAGGCTGGCTCTTGTGTAATTGCTACTTGCTTCAGTCGCGGTGGGCAATAACTTAAGATTCCATTAATTAACAGCCACTCAGGTGATGCTCCTCAGAGGGATACCATTTTGGCATCTCTTAACCAAGGTTGATAAATTTGAGGAGTATTTTGGAAAAACAAACACACGCATAGAGCTGAATTTTGGCACAAATGTTCATACTCATTCATGTCCCCATTCATTTTTTTCAGTGTGTGAGTGTGTGTTCCAGACAAAACCAAACATTAACTTCCACATTTAATTTGGTAGAAAATGCCTATATTTATGTATCAAATGGCTGATATGAACACATGCTATTTTGTTTTATACATTTAAGTGTGCAGTTCCTGAAGTGTCTGCTGGAAAGAATGATTGTGTCAACTGGAAGGTGTGAAAATAACTACAGTACGATTGGCACATGATGCTTATTTAATTGCAACTCAACAAATGTTATACGTGTAGGCTTTTTGCAAGCAGAATGTTACAAAAACTGTTTAGAAGTCAGTTAATGCTTAATTGTTCCACATGCCACTTCAAAACAGTGAAACAATTACGTAAAAGATTGCTTGTTAAAATAAAATTAAGATGGTGCATTTTGGGTAATGGAACAAATTCTGGTAAAAATTATTAAATTGTAGAGATGTCCGGGGTAATTAAGATCCAGATTATTTTGCCGCTTCATGTCTGATTGCTAGCATAATGTGATTTAAACAATACTTTATTCAGGATGCATTAACAACTTCTTTACCCTTTTCATTGTCTGGTTCATCATCCTCTGGGAAGTTTCTATGACCTGTTTTGTCTAGATGCTCCTGGAGGGTTAAAGATAAAAAGTAATGGCAAATTTGCTGAAAGTCAAAGACAGTGCTAGCCAGGAGAAATTTTGGCTTCTTCTTGGTGCTTAGCTTACCCAAACTTACCAGTGTAAAGAGCAATACATGCATAATTTAAGCCACTGTAAGAAAAACTGTGCTGACACTCATCATCAAATTAATTTGTTTTGTCAAATTTTTGATCAGCAGTGTCTTGTCCTTTCTTTACTAGTACTGTTGTTGAGTACTGTTATAATTTCAAAACAGCATTTTGTGTGTGTGTGTCCAAGTTTCCAGCATGTGCATGACTGTAAAGTGGAACCTCTATGTAACAAAGTACTCAGTGTAAAATGAACAAATTATATTTTTCTCCCCAGAAATAGTGCAATGCAAGAAAAAGAACAATATAAGGGAAAGAACGTCAATATAACAAAACCTCTTTATTATAGTGAACAAAGTTTACCAGTCCTTTGGCTTTCATTGTTCAAAGTTTCACTGTATTACATAGTCTGCAGAAAGGATAACCTCACTGACAATTATTAAACCTTTTTTTTTTGGAATTTAAGAGTTGTAGAAAAGAGTTTTGAATTTGTATGGTCCTGCGCACAATTTTGTTGGAAAACAATATGACAAAATTCCTATATGAGGGCTGTATGCATCAAGTGATAGGGCCGGAAAAATGTGTACAGCCCTGCTAGGCAACCATACTGATCGATGGACATTCGCTCTCTCAGAAAATTTCAGAAATGCAATGGTCATGATCCATAGTGTGATATTACACTACAGTTCGTTAAATTTACGTCCCCCATTTGTGCTCAGCACTGAGCCTGTGAGTACAGCTGTCTCGTAACTCCTCATGAGAGAGGCGTCTGTAATTCAGCCCCCAAATTTCTTACTGATGATGTAGATTTGTCTGCAATTTTGACAGCAAGCCCTGGGCCGAGTTGATAACCCAGGGTTAGTGTGAGATTTGAATTCACACATGAAAGCTTAAAAAGCATTTCAGTTTTAATTCTTTTTGTCTACAAGTTAATGTTTGGAAGCTCCAAAAATAACAGAGAAAATTATCTAAGTGCTCATCGGCCTTTGAACAACTGGGCTCTGGTTGATAGATGTAGTAATATTGTTACATTCTTATAGCTATAGTTTATCTGACAAAAGGTCAGGAAGATGTTAACGCAATATTAACCTGCTAAAAGAAAATAAACGTGGCGTTTTTTCTCCTTTATAACAGGCATTTAAATTTCATTGCTGCCTCAGGGCTAGAAAAAAAACTTGAATTCAAGCTTGTCCTTTGGGCAAGCAGCTCTTACATTATTAATTTTTTTGCCTGCCCAGGGCCACTTCTTGCTTGTCTTAGTTAATGATTTTGTTAGAGAAAGACTTTCCTGGGCCCAGCAAGAAAATCTCAAGTCCCCAAATAACCCGGGGGAGGGACTCCTCATATGAAAGTGGTGCGGATGCTCTTTGTCTTGCTTAGGGGTGTAAATTTCAGATTTTGGCCTCACATAGGGTGTTCTGGGCAAAACGCCATCATATTTAGCCATGAAGGTCTCATTTATAGGGTTGCACTTGAAAAACTATAAAAGTATATATATTATCTGTGTTTTAACATGGTCTCTTTTAGGGGTCCAAAAAAGCTTGGGCCACGCCCAGATCGGTCTCCTTTAGGGGTTTAATTGAAAATTGCCAACAAGCAACTGCACTCCTTTCATATGCAGTGCCCCCCGGCCCAAATACTGCTGCATGTTTTTAGAAGAATGCAATAGTTTACAATCACAGACCAAGTGAGAACAAGATTTTATGTTTCTCTAGTCTTTACTTGTGAAAAAGTGCACATAAGAATTTTTAGCAGTTATTTCTTTTATGCAAATCAAACCTACCATGTGCTCTGTAACTGTAAATCGTCTCCATCGTGTCCCAAAAACTAAAACACATAAAGTATATGGGCAGCAATAAGGGACAATATTCATATGAAAAAATGCTAAAATTGCCGTCAGGGTATTACAAAACAAAATTGTAAATTACTTCTGATACTGACTTAATAAAATGAAAAACAATGTTTTCAGTAAAACTTGAATCAATCACATGCACTTTAATGTGAACTAGTTAGTTATACAGCTATTTTAAAAAAGGTTGTCTGAGAAAAATGGCGAATGGAGGTTGCACGACCAAAAGGAACTGTGGTTATGTAATTGATATGCAAAATTTCATTAGTTGCGTTCATCTTGCACGAAAATGAAAACACCAACTATTAACGTTTGTCTGAGTGTTCTTGACTCCAAAAGGCAAAAGAAACTCATGCTTTGGTTTTACTGAAAGACATTCCTTGTTTCCTCATATGAATGGTATATTGTCTCCGACGTTACATCGCCAGTCGCAATAAATGTAGAAGAAGAAAAATGAAGCCTCTGCAACTGATTGCTGAAGAACATGGACAAACCATATAACCTACCATCGAAGGTCTTTACTAAATGGAGCTGGCATCATTGATTAGCTTAGATAGTTGATTATTGACCATCAATACTGAAAACCCACAGCTCCTTTCGGTCGCACAATCTCCATTTGAAAATTGCTATTCACCATTCTCCCTGACAACCTTTTCTTAAATAGGTGTATACAGGAAGGCTATTTTACCCTTTGATGAAGCCAAATGTATTGTTAATAAGTTACTTGTTTGAAGAATTGACGCTCTCAATAAAAACAGGGTTCGCATGCACCTTAAAAGTCCTTGAAAATTCCTTGAATTTTTATTTCCTTGAAAATGGCAGTCAGTTCTGGAAAGACCTTGAATTTCAATAGTTTAAGTAGAACTCCAAAGAGAAAGGAGCAAACACACGAAGACCTTGGGGATAAAATTACTCATGTTGTGGAAGAACTAAAAAAGACGTAGACTCAAGGCCCTTTTTTTGCACTGAATGGAGTCCTTGAAAAATGGGAAATGTGTCCTTGAAAGTCCTTGAAAAGTACTTGAATTTTTTGTTCACAAAATGTTACGAACCCTGTAAAAAGACATTATTTTTGTTGCAAAAAAATTGCCCGACTTGTAGCAATTTCATAACTGGCTTGTGATGGGTCTGGTAAAGAATGCTGTTAGGAGGAAATCATTTCTTGAACAAAAATTAATTGTCTTAGTTACCATTTTTATTTGAATAGAAGTCTTTTTTTTATCAGAAGTAATTGCAGTAAATTACTTATTAATAATAAGCAGAGCCATGCAATTATCACCATACCTTTTTCCACAATCCTACTGTTTCTTTGTTGATTCCCCTCCTTACCAAATGTGCCTTGATTCTATAAAAAGAATGATCATTATCCCACAGTTTATTATGTAAGCTAGTAGCATGTTTATGACTTTCAGTCAAGTCCCTTGAACCTCTCGGCCAAGGTCAGGAGCTATACAGATAAGAATAACCATGTCATTTTAGATATATTCGACAGTGCTTTATCCATTTTTGGTGTTCTTGATTAGAACACTATGACAAGCACTGATAAAAGTTTCTATCATGATCTTTCTATAACCATACACTGCATTCCAGACTAAATTAAATTTACATTCAATGAAAACTCAGTGGGGAATGGGTAACTCAATACCTCATGAGAAAATTTATCAAGTCATAAATTTAATCCCAATTCTGCAGGAACTGCACTGAGATTTTCAACTTCAATTCTTTTTTTTCTTTGTTCTGCATTTTCTTCACCCTGTTTCACTCAACCATGCTCATTAAGAAATGGTATTAAATACAAGATACGTGAACAGCTGCTTGTGTTGGCAATGTCACTTGTGGGCCAAGAAATGTGGAACTGGACACAGGCACTTTAAGGTATGAATGTATGAAAGATTGAATTTCTTCAGCATAATTATTTGGGCACTCTTCTGTCTGAACACTGACTTAAAATCAGGCCCCGGTTGTTCAAACGTTAGATAGCGCTATCCACCGGATAAATCACTATCCAGCGGATAAGTATTACGGAAATCAATTACGCTATCCGCTGGATAGTGATTTATCCGGTGGATAGCGCTATCCAACGTTTGAACAACCGGGGCCAGATGTTAAATACTGTCCTTTAAACAAGGTTCATTCAGTTAAAGCTAAATGGAGACAAGTGCATGGCCACATTTACACTAACACGATACTGTCATTAATTTGATGATTACACACTGCAATAATACCTGACAAGCTCTTGTTTCTAGAGTCACATCCTTTTCCATTGACTCAATGTTGGACGAAGTGATCGGTTTATCAGCAGAGAGAGGTGATTTTCTGACAGTTGATGTCTCTGTTGAGACCTTCTGAGCTAAGTGAGGTTGCTTGTGTATGACTGCCTATAAGAAAACAAGATCAATACAGTACATTAGGGAGATTTAGGATCAACGGCAGCAAAAACGCCATTGTAAAAATAAATCAGCTTTTTTCAGACTTTGTCGCACGTATTCCAGTTCCCTGAAAATGTCTAATGTAGGCAAATTTCCCTGGAGATAATTTCTGGGGGACTGTACTCAAATTTAGAAAGAGAGAGAAAATTTGGTCGTCGCTTCTTTACATACATACATACATACATACATACATACATATACTTTATTTAACCTCGTTTTAAAGTAGCTAAAGATAAGCTAGTATCTTCGACTTACAAGTATGATTTTAAAACTACAAAAACTAGAAATTATAACATTCTAGAATTTAAAACGTGAAAGTAGGCATTTTTACGTCGTAGTGGTGTAGTAACAGCCAAGAAATGTACCAAAAAGCGTGATGCACGGTGAAAACTAAATGTTTTGCTCAATAAACCTGTTGCTTGTTTTGACATTCTCATTTCCCTTGCCATTGTTCAGAACTTCAGTTTCTGTCGCCGTTTAAAAATGATGGTCTATCATATACCTATATAATTAACAATCATTATCTTATTATAACTCATGAATTTTTGCAAATAGTGGCATGTCAATGACTTGAAAATGTGAAAGGTTTAGATCACTTTGATTGCCTTCTGACCAAATTCTTGTAATGTGTAGGTTTATTTGGAAATCATTTCTAGTGTGTAATAAATTCAGTTAGAGCTGAACAGAGACATGCGCATGTAACTACAAAATCCCTTGTTAACAGAGTAACTCCCTCATAGTTTCGTATCACCAGTTGTCCATTTCAATTTATCATCCAACAGTACGTGGTTATACCTGATCATGATGATCTCTGGTATCCTGGTTTAAAACTAAAGTGAGCATTGTTGAAGGCCACAAGAGGCTCAGTGGCAAGGAGAAACCTGTTTGACTTTGGTTAGCAGCAAGAAGACATCATTCACTTAAGGTAAACACTGGTTTTACTCTGTTGTTATTCAGTGCGGTACAAAATTTTGAATACTACTTTTTCAAGCAGATTTAACAAAAGATGTGCCCGTTTCCCCGAAAGGTATCTGCAGGTTGCCTGAACAACCTTATATCATGTTAATATTTGATTTTAGGGATTTTGCATAATTATTTTACGAAAGATCTGGTACAGTTTCATTGCTGCTTTGTAGCATATAACTTAAAATGGGTGATTTTTAAGAGTTGCATTCACAAAGTAAAGATGATGTTTACTAAGACAGGACTGTCATTTGATGCGATATGTGTAATGATTACACAATGTAATAATACCTGACAAGCTCTCGTCTCTAGAGTCACATCCTTTTCCATTGACTCAATGTTGGGTGAAGTGATCGGTTTATCAGCAGAGAGAGGTGATTTTCTGGCAATTGATGTCTCTGTTGAGCCTTTCTGAGCTAAGCTAGGTTGTTTGTATATCACTGCCTATAACAAAACAAGACCAATACGGTACATTAGGGAGATTTAGCATCAACAGCAGCGAAAAAGCCATTTTAAAAATGAATTAGCTTTTTTCAGACTTTGTCGCGTGTATTCCATTTCTCTGAAAATTTCCCTAGAGTTGATTTCTTGAGGACTGTACTCAAGTTTAGAAAGAGAAAGAAAATTTGGTCGTTGCTTGTTTACGTTGTCCATAAAACGTGAAAGTAGGCATTTTCACGTCGTAGTCCTGAAGTAACGTCCTGCAAATGTACAAAAACGCATGATGCATGGTTCAAACTTAATGTTTTGTTCAATAAACCTGTTGCTTGTTTGACGTTCTCGTAGCTGTCGCCATTGTCGTCGATAAAACTCCCTATTATGTAGTTCAAAACTTCAGTCCTTGTTTAAAAAAGAATTTAATGATGGTCTATCATATACCTATTTGATTACCAAACAGTATCTCATTATAACTGATGAATTTTTCCAAATGGTGCCATGTCAATAAGTTGAAAATGTGAAAATTTTTAGGACACTCTGACTGCCTTCTGGCCAAATTCTTTTAATGTGTAGGTTTATTTAGAAATCATTTCTTGTGTGTAATAAATTCATGAATTTGAGCTAAACAGAGACACATGCATATAACTACAAAATCCCTTGTTAACAGAGTAACTCCCTCATAGTTCGATATGTGTAATGATTACACAATGTAATAATACCTGACAAGCTCTTGTCTCTGGAGTCACATCCTTTTCCAGTGACTCAATGTTGGGCGAAGTGATCGGTTGATCAGCAGAGAGAGGTGATTTTCCTGCAATTGATGTCTCTGTTGAGCCCTTCTGAGCTAAGCAAGGTTGCTTGTGTATGACTGCCTATAAGAAAACAAGACCAATACGGTACATTAGGGAGATTTAGCATCAACAGCAGCGAAAATGCCATTTTAAAAATGAATTAGCTTTTTTCAGACTTTGTCGCGTCTATTCCATTTCTCTGAAAATTTCCCTAGAGTTGATTTCTTGAGGACTGTACTCAAGTTTAGAAAGAGAAAGAAAATTTGGTCGTAGCTTGTTTACGTTGTCCATAACATGTGAAAGTAGCCATTTTCACGTCGTAGTCCTGAAGTAACGTCCTACAAATGTACAAAAACGCATGATGCATGGTGCAAACTTAATGTTTTGTTCAATAAACCTGTTGCTTGTTTGACGTTCTCGTTGCCGTCGCCATTGTCGTCGATAAGACTCCCTATTATGTAGTTCAAAACTTCAGTCCTTGTTTAAAAAAGAATTTAATGATGGTCTATCATATACCTATTTGATTACCAAACAGTATCTCATTATAACTGATGAATTTTTCCTAATGGTGCCATGTCAATAACTTGAAAATGTGAAAATTTTTAGGACACTCTGACTGCCTTCTGGCCAAATTCTTTTAATGTGTAGGTTTATTTAGAAATCATTTCTTGTGTGTAATAAATTCATGAATTAGAGCTAAACAGAGACACATGCATATAACTACAAAATCCCTTGTTAACAGAGTAACTCCCTCATAGTTTCGTATCACCAGTTGTCCATTTCAATTTATCATCCAACAGTACATGGTTATACCTGATCATGATGATCTCTGGTATCCTGGTTTAAAACTAAAGTGTGCATTGTTGAAGGCCACAAGAGGCTCAGTGGCAAGGAGGAACCCCTTTTTGACTTTGGTTAGCAGCAAGAAGACATCACTCACTTAAGGTAAACACTGGTTTTACTCTGTTGTTATTCAGTGCGGTACAAAATTTTGAATACTAATATTTTAAGCAGATTTAAAAAAAGATGTGCCCGTTTCCCTGAAAGGTATCTGCAGGTTGCCTGAACAACCTTATATCATGTTAATCTTTGATTTTTGGGATTTTGCATATTTTACGAAAGATCTGGTACAGACTCATTGCTGCCTTGTGGTTTTTAACGTAAAATCGGTGATTTTTAAGAGTTGCATTCACAAAGTAAAGATGATGTTTACTAAGACAGGACTGTCATTTTATGCGATATGTGTAATGATTACACAATGTAATAATACCTGACAAGCTCTTGTCTCTGGAGTCACATCCTTTTCCAGTGACTCAATGTTGGGCGAAGTGATCGGTTTATCAGCAGAGAGAGGTGATTTTCCTGCAATTGATGTCTCTGTTGAGCCCTTCTGAGCTAAGCAAGGTTGCTTGTGTATGACTGCCTATAAGAAAACAAGACCAATACGGTACATTAGGGAGATTTAGCATCAACAGCAGCGAAAATGCCATTTTAAAAATGAATTAGCTTTTTTCAGACTTTGTCGCGTCTATTCCATTTCTCTGAAAATTTCCCTAGAGTTGATTTCTTGAGGACTGTACTCAAGTTTAGAAAGAGAAAGAAAATTTGGTCGTAGCTTGTTTACGTTGTCCATAACACATGAAAGTAGCCATTTTCACGTCGTAGTCCTGAAGTAACGTCCTACAAATGTACAAAAACGCATGATGCATGGTGCAAACTTAATGTTTTGTTCAATAAACCTGTTGCTTGTTTGACGTTCTCGTTGCCGTCGCCATTGTCGTCGATAAGACTCCCTATTATGTAGTTCAAAACTTCAGTCCTTGTTTAAAAAAGAATTTAATGATGGTCTATCATATACCTATTTGATTACCAAACAGTATCTCATTATAACTGATGAATTTTTCCAAATGGTGCTATGTCAATAAGTTGAAAATGTGAAAATTTTTAGGACACTCTGACTGCCTTCTGGCCAAATTCTTTTAATGTGTAGGTTTATTTAGAAATCATTTCTTGTGTGTAATAAATTCATGAATTTGAGCTAAACAGAGACACATGCATATAACTACAAAATCCCTTGTTAACAGAGTAACTCCCTCATAGTTCGATATGTGTAATGATTACACAATGTAATAATACCTGACAAGCTCTTGTCTCTGGAGTCACATCCTTTTCCAGTGACTCAATGTTGGGCGAAGTGATCGGTTGATCAGCAGAGAGAGGTGATTTTCCTGCAATTGATTTCTCTGTTGAGCCCTTCTGAGCTAAGCAAGGTTGCTTGTGTATGACTGCCTATAAGAAAACAAGACCAATACGGTACATTAGGGAGATTTAGCATCAACAGCAGCGAAAATGCCATTTTATAAATGAATTAGCTTTTTTCAGACTTTGTCGCGTGTATTCCATTTCTCTGAAAATTTCCCTAGAGTTGATTTCTTGAGGACTGTACTCAAGTTTAGAAAGAGAAAGAAAATTTGGTCGTAGCTTGTTTACGTTGTCCATAACACGTGAAAGTAGGCATTTTCACGTCGTAGTCCTGAAGTAACGTCCTACAAATGTACAAAAACGCATGATGCATGGTGCAAACTTAATGTTTTGTTCAATAAACCTGTTGCTTGTTTGACGTTCTCGTTGCCGTCGCCATTGTCGTCGATAAGACTCCCTATTATGTAGCTCAAAACTTCAGTCCTTGTTTAAAAAAGAATTTAATGATGGTCTATCATGTACCTATTTGATTACCAAACAGTATCTCATTATAACTGATGAATTTTTCCAAATGGTGCCATGTCAATAAGTTGAAAATGTGAAAATTTTTAGGACACTCTGACTGCCTTCTGGCCAAATTCTTTTAATGTGTAGGTTTATTTAGAAATCATTTCTTGTGTGTAATAAATTCATGAATTAGAGCTAAACAGAGACACATGCATATAACTACAAAATCCCTTGTTAACAGAGTAACTCCCTCATAGTTTCTTATCACCAGTTGTCCATTTCAATTTATCATCCAACAGTACATGGTTATACCTGATCATGATGATCTCTGGTATCCTGGTTTAAAACTAAAGTGTGCATTGTTGAAGGCCACGGGATGCTTAGTGGCAAGGAGGAACCTGTTTGACTTTGGTTAGCAGCAAGAAGACATCACTCACTTAAGGTAAACACTGGTTTTAACCTGTTGTTATTCAGTGCGTTACAAAATTTTGAATACTAATCTTTTAAGCAGATTTAAAAAAATGTGCTTATTTTCCTGAAAGGTATCTGCAGGTTGCCTGAACAACCCTTATATCATGTTAATATTTGATTTTAGGGATTTTGCATATTTTACGAAAGATCTGGTACAGACTCATTGCTGCCTTGTGGTTTTTAACGTAAAATGGGTGATTTTTAAGAGTTGCATTCACAAAGTAAAGATGATGTTTACTAAGACAGGACTGTCATTTTATGCGATATGTGTAATGATTACACAATGTAATAATACCTGACAAGCTCTTGTCTCTGGAGTCACATCCTTTTCCAGTGACTCAATGTTGGGCGAAGTGATCGGTTGATCAGCAGAGAGAGGTGATTTTCCTGCAATTGATGTCTCTGTTGAGCCCTTCTGAGCTAAGCGAGGTTGCTTGTGTATGACTGCCTATAAGAAAACAAGACCAATACGGTACATTAGGGAGATTTAGCATCAACAGCAGCGAAAATGCCATTTTAAAAATGAATTAGCTTTTTTCAGAGTTTGTCGCGTCTATTCCATTTCTCTGAAAATTTCCCTAGAGTTGATTTCTTGAGGACTGTACTCAAGTTTAGAAAGAGAAAGAAAATTTGGTCGTAGCTTGTTTACGTTGTCCATAACACGTGAAAGTAGGCATTTTCACGTCGTAGTCCTGAAGTAACGTCCTACAAATGTACAAAAACGCATGATGCATGGTGCAAACTTAATGTTTTGTTCAATAAACCTGTTGCTTGTTTGACGTTCTCGTTGCCGTCGCCATTGTCGTCGATAAGACTCCCTATTATGTAGTTCAAAACTTCAGTCCTTGTTTAAAAAAGAATTTAATGATGGTCTATCATGTACCTATTTGATTACCAAACAGTATCTCATTATAACTGATGAATTTTTCCAAATGGTGCCATGTCAATAAGTTGAAAATGTGAAAATTTTTAGGACACTCTGACTGCCTTCTGGCCAAATTCTTTTAATGTGTAGGTTTATTTAGAAATCATTTCTTGTGTGTAATAAATTCATGAATTAGAGCTAAACAGAGACACATGCATATAACTACAAAATCCCTTGTTAACAGAGTAACTCCCTCATAGTTTCGTATCACCAGTTGTCCATTTCAATTTATCATCCAACAGTATATGGTTATACCTGATCATGATGATCTCTGGTATCCTGGTTTAAAACTAAAGTGTGCATTGTTGAAGGCCACAAGAGGCTCAGTGGCAAGGAGGAACCCCTTTTGACTTTGGTTAGCAGCAAGAAGACATCACTCACTTAAGGTAAACACTGGTTTTACTCTGTTGTTATTCAGTGCGGTACAAAATTTTGAATACTAATATTTTAAGCAGATTTAAAAAAAGATGTGCCCGTTTCCCTGAAAGGTATCTGCAGGTTGCCTGAACAACCTTATATCATGTTAATATTTGATTTTTGGGATTTTGCATATTTTACGAAAGATCTGGTACAGACTCATTGCTGCCTTGTGGTTTTTAACGTAAAATCGGTGATTTTTAAGAGTTGCATTCACAAAGTAAAGATGATGTTTACTAAGACAGGACTGTCATTTTATGCGATATGTGTGATGATTACACAATGTAATAATACCTGACAAGCTCTTGTCTCTGGAGTCACATCCTTTTCCAGTGACTCAATGTTGGGCGAAGTGATCGGTTTATCAGCAGAGAGAGGTGATTTTCCTGCAATTGATGTCTCTGTTGAGCCCTTCTGAGCTAAGCGAGGTTGCTTGTGTATGACTGCCTATAAGAAAACAAGACCAATACGGTACATTAGGGAGATTTAGCATCAACAGCAGCGAAAATGCCATTTTAAAAATGAATTAGCTTTTTTCAGACTTTGTCGCGTCTATTCCATTTCTCTGAAAATTTCCCTAGAGTTGATTTCTTGAGGACTGTACTCAAGTTTAGAAAGAGAAAGAAAATTTGGTCGTAGCTTGTTTACGTTGTCCATAACACGTGAAAGTAGGCATTTTCACGTCGTAGTCCTGAAGTAACGTCCTACAAATGTACAAAAACGCATGATGCATGGTGCAAACTTAATGTTTTGTTCAATAAACCTGTTGCTTGTTTGACGTTCTCGTTGCCGTCGCCATTGTCGTCGATAAGACTCCCTATTATGTAGTTCAAAACTTCAGTCCTTGTTTAAAAAAGAATTTAATGATGGTCTATCATGTACCTATTTGATTACCAAACAGTATCTCATTATAACTGATGAATTTTTCCAAATGGTGCCATGTCAATAACTTGAAAATGTGAAAATTTTTAGGACACTCTGACTGCCTTCTGGCCAAATTCTTTTAATGTGTAGGTTTATTTAGAAATCATTTCTTGTGTGTAATAAATTCATGAATTAGAGCTAAACAGAGACACATGCATATAACTACAAAATCCCTTGTTAACAGAGTAACTCCCTCATAGTTTCGTATCACCAGTTGTCCATTTCAATTTATCATCCAACAGTATATGGTTATACCTGATCATGATGATCTCTGGTATCCTGGTTTAAAACTAAAGTGTGCATTGTTGAAGGCCACAAGAGGCTCAGTGGCAAGGAGGAACCCCTTTTTGACTTTGGTTAGCAGCAAGAAGACATCACTCACTTAAGGTAAACACTGGTTTTACTCTGTTGTTATTCAGTGCGGTACAAAATTTTGAATACTAATATTTTAAGCAGATTTAAAAAAAGATGTGCCCGTTTCCCTGAAAGGTATCTGCAGGTTGCCTGAACAACCTTATATCATGTTAATATTTGATTTTTGGGATTTTGCATATTTTACGAAAGATCTGGTACAGACTCATTGCTGCCTTGTGGTTTTTAACGTAAAATCGGTGATTTTTAAGAGTTGCATTCACAAAGTAAAGATGATGTTTACTAAGACAGGACTGTCATTTTATGCGATATGTGTAATGATTACACAATGTAATAATACCTGACAAGCTCTTGTCTCTGGAGTCACATCCTTTTCCAGTGACTCAATGTTGGGCGAAGTGATCGGTTGATCAGCAGAGAGAGGTGATTTTCCTGCAATTGATGTCTCTGTTGAGCCCTTCTGAGCTAAGCAAGGTTGCTTGTGTATGACTGCCTATAAGAAAACAAGACCAATACGGTACATTAGGGAGATTTAGCATCAACAGCAGCGAAAATGCCATTTTAAAAATGAATTAGCTTTTTTCAGACTTTGTCGCGTCTATTCCATTTCTCTGAAAATTTCCCTAGAGTTGATTTCTTGAGGACTGTACTCAAGTTTAGAAAGAGAAAGAAAATTTGGTCGTAGCTTGTTTACGTTGTCCATAACACGTGAAAGTAGGCATTTTCACGTCGTAGTCCTGAAGTAACGTCCTACAAATGTACAAAAACGCATGATGCATGGTGCAAACTTAATGTTTTGTTCAATAAACCTGTTGCTTGTTTGACGTTCTCGTTGCCGTCGCCATTGTCGTCGATAAGACTCCCTATTATGTAGTTCAAAACTTCAGTCCTTGTTTAAAAAAGAATTTAATGATGGTCTATCATATACCTATTTGATTACCAAACAGTATCTCATTATAACTGATGAATTTTTCCAAATGGTGCCATGTCAATAAGTTGAAAATGTGAAAATTTTTAGGACACTCTGACTGCCTTCTGGCCAAATTCTTTTAATGTGTAGGTTTATTTAGAAATCATTTCTTGTGTGTAATAAATTCATGAATTTGAGCTAAACAGAGACACATGCATATAACTACAAAATCCCTTGTTAACAGAGTAACTCCCTCATAGTTTCGTATCACCAGTTGTCCATTTCAATTTATCATCCAACAGTATATGGTTATACCTGATCATGATGATCTCTGGTATCCTGGTTTAAAACTAAAGTGTGCATTGTTGAAGGCCACAAGAGGCTCAGTGGCAAGGAGGAACCCCTTTTTGACTTTGGTTAGCAGCAAGAAGACATCACTCACTTAAGGTAAACACTGGTTTTACTCTGTTGTTATTCAGTGCGGTACAAAATTTTGAATACTAATATTTTAAGCAGATTTAAAAAAAGATGTGCCCGTTTCCCTGAAAGGTATCTGCAGGTTGCCTGAACAACCTTATATCATGTTAATCTTTGATTTTGGGATTTTGCATATTTTACGAAAGATCTGGTACAGACTCATTGCTGCCTTGTGGTTTTTAACGTAAAATCGGTGATTTTAAGAGTTGCATTCACAAAGTAAAGATGATGTTTACTAAGACAGGACTGTCATTTTATGCGATATGTGTAATGATTACACAATGTAATAATACCTGACAAGCTCTTGTCTCTGGAGTCACATCCTTTTCCAGTGACTCAATGTTGGGCGAAGTGATCGGTTTATCAGCAGAGAGAGGTGATTTTCCTGCAATTGATGTCTCTGTTGAGCCCTTCTGAGCTAAGCGAGGTTGCTTGTGTATGACTGCCTATAAGAAAACAAGACCAATACGGTACATTAGGGAGATTTAGCATCAACAGCAGCGAAAATGCCATTTTAAAAATGAATTAGCTTTTTTCAGACTTTGTCGCGTCTATTCCATTTCTCTGAAAATTTCCCTAGAGTTGATTTCTTGAGGACTGTACTCAAGTTTAGAAAGAGAAAGAAAATTTGGTCGTAGCTTGTTTACGTTGTCCATAACACGTGAAAGTAGGCATTTTCACGTCGTAGTCCTGAAGTAACGTCCTACAAATGTACAAAAACGCATGATGCATGGTGCAAACTTAATGTTTTGTTCAATAAACCTGTTGCTTGTTTGACGTTCTCGTTGCCGTCGCCATTGTCGTCGATAAGACTCCCTATTATGTAGTTCAAAACTTCAGTCCTTGTTTAAAAAAGAATTTAATGATGGTCTATCTTATACCTATTTGATTACCAAACAGTATCTCATTATAACTGATGAATTTTTCCAAATGGTGCCATGTCAATAACTTTAAAATGTGAAAATTTTTAGGACACTCTGACTGCCTTCTGGCCAAATTCTTTTAATGTGTAGGTTTATTTAGAAATCATTTCTTGTGTGTAATAAATTCATGAATTTGAGCTAAACAGAGACACATGCATATAACTACAAAATCCCTTGTTAACAGAGTAACTCCCTCATAGTTCGATATGTGTAATGATTGCACAATGTAATAATACCTGACAAGCTCTTGTCTCTGGAGTCACATCCTTTTCCAGTGACTCAATGTTGGGCGAAGTGATCGGTTGATCAGCAGAGAGAGGTGATTTTCCTGCAATTGATGTCTCTGTTGAGCCCTTCTGAGCTAAGCAAGGTTGCTTGTGTATGACTGCCTATAAGAAAACAAGACCAATACGGTACATTAGGGAGATTTAGCATCAACAGCAGCGAAAATGCCATTTTATAAATGAATTAGCTTGTTTCAGACTTTGTCGCGTGTATTCCATTTCTCTGAAAATTTCCCTAGAGTTGATTTCTTGAGGACTGTACTCAAGTTTAGAAAGAGAAAGAAAATTTGGTCGTAGCTTGTTTACGTTGTCCATAACACGTGAAAGTAGGCATTTTCACTTCGTAGTCCTGAAGTAACGTCCTACAAATGTACAAAAACGCATGATGCATGGTGCAAACTTAATGTTTTGTTCAATAAACCTGTTGCTTGTTTGACGTTCTCGTTGCCGTCGCCATTGTCGTCGATAAGACTCCCTATTATGTAGTTCAAAACTTCAGTCCTTGTTTAAAAAAGAATTTAATGATGGTCTATCATATACCTATTTGATTACCAAACAGTATCTCATTATAACTGATGAATTTTTCCAAATGGTGCCATGTCAATAAGTTGAAAATGTGAAAATTTTTAGGACACTCTGACTGCCTTCTGGCCAAATTCTTTTAATGTGTAGGTTTATTTAGAAATCATTTCTTGTGTGTAATAAATTCATGAATTAGAGCTAAACAGAGACACATGCATATAACTACAAAATCCCTTGTTAACAGAGTAACTCCCTCATAGTTTCGTATCACCAGTTGTCCATTTCAATTTATCATCCAACAGTATATGGTTATACCTGATCATGATGAACTCTGGTATCCTGGTGTAACTAAAGTCTGCATTGTTGAAGGCCAGAAGAGGTTCAGTGGCAAGGAGGAACCTATTTGACCTTAGTTAGCAGCAAGAAGACATCATTCACTTTTATAGGTAAACACTGGTACTAACCTGTTGTTATTCAGTGCTTTGCAAAATTTTGAATACTAATTTTTTAAGCAGATTTAAAAAAGATGTGCTCTGGTTTCCCTGAAAGGTATCTACAGGTTGCCTGAACACCCTTATATTGTACATTAATAATATTGATTTTAGGGATTTTCCATATTTACAAAAGATGTGATACAGTTTCATTGCTGCTTTGTAGTTTTGAATTTAAAATGGGTAATTTTTAAGAGTTGCATTAACAAAGTAAAGATGATGTTTACTAAGATGGGACTGTCGTTTGATGCGATATGTGTAATGATTACACAGTGTAATAATACCTGACAAGTTCTCGTCTCTAGAGTCACATCCTTTTCCATTGACTCAATGTTGGGTGAAGTGATCGGTTTATCAGCAGAGAGAGGTGATTTTCTGGCAATTGATGTCTCTGTTGAGACCTTCTGAGCTAAGTGAGGTTGCTTGTGTATGACTGCCTATAAGAAAACAAGATCAATACAGTACATTAGGGAGATTTAGGATCAAAGGCAGTAAAAACACCATTTTAAAAATAAATCAGCTTTTTTCAGACTTTGTCGCATGTATTCCAGTTCCCTGAAAATATCTAATGGAGGCAAATTTCCCTGGAGTTGATTTCTTGGGGACTGTACTCAAATTTAGAAGGAGAAAGAAAATTTGGTCGTCGCTTGTTTACATACATACATACATACATACATATGCTTTATTTAACCTCAATTTAAAGTAGCTAAAGATAAGCTAGTATCTTCAAGTTAATGATTCTAAAACTACAAAAACTAGAAATTATAACATTCTAAAATTTAAAACGTGAAAGTAGGCATTTTTATGTCATAGTGGTGTAGTAACAGCCAAGAAATGTACCAAAAAGCGTGATGCACAGTGAAAACTTAATGTTTTGCTCAATAAACCTGTTGCTTGTTTGACATTCTCATTTCCCTCGCCATTGTTCAGAACTTCAGTTTCTGTCGCTGTTTAAAAATTATGTTCTATCATATACCTATATAATTAACAATCATTATCTTATTATAACTGATGCATTTTTGCAAATAGTGGCATGTCAATAACTTGAAAATGTGAAAGGTCTAGATCACTTTGATTGCCTTCTGGCCAAATTCTTGTAATGTGTAGATTTATTTAGAAATCATTTCTAGTGTGTAATAAATTCAGTTAGAGCTGAACAGAGACATGTGCATATAACTACAAAATTCCTTGTTAACAGAGTAATTCCCTCATAGTTTCTCATCACCAGTTGTCCATTTCAATTTATCATCCAACAGTATATGGTTATACCTGATCATGATGATCTCTGGTATCCTGGTTTAAAACTAAAGTGTGCATTGTTGAAGGCCACAAGAGGCTCAGTGGCAAGGAGGAACCCCCTTTTGACTTTGGTTAGCAGCAAGAAGACATCATTCACTTAAGGTAAACACTGGTTTTACTCTGTTGTTATTCAGTGCGGTACAAAATTTTGAATACTAATTTTTTAAGCAGATTTAAAAAAAGATGTGCCCGTTTCCCTGAAAGGTATCTGCAGGTTGCCTGAACAACCTTATATCATGTTAATATTTGATTTTTGGGATTTTGCATATTTTACGAAAGATCTGGTACAGACTCATTGCTGCTTTGTAGTTTTTAACATAAAATGGGTCATTTTTAGGAGTTGCATTCACAAAGTAAAGATGATGTTTACTAAGACAGGACTGTCATTTTATGCGATATGTGTAATGATTACACAATGTAATAATACCTGACAAGCTCTTGTCTCTGGAGTCACATCCTTTTCCAGTGACTCAATGTTGGGCGAAGTGATCGGTTTATCAGCAGAGAGAGGTGATTTTCCTGCAATTGATGTCTCTGTTGAGCCCTTCTGAGCTAAGCGAGGTTGCTTGTGTATGACTGCCTATAAGAAAACAAGACCAATACGGTACATTAGGGAGATTTAGCATCAACAGCAGCGAAAATGCCATTTTAAAAATGAATTAGCTTTTTTCAGACTTTGTCGCGTGTATTCCAGTTCACTGAAAATGTGTAATGCAGGCAAATTTCCCTGTAGTTGATTTCTTGGGGACTCTACTCAAGTTTAGAAAGAGATAGAAAGTTTGGTCGTCACTTGTTTACGCCGTCCATATAACGTGAAAGTAGGCATTTTCGTGTCCTAGTCGTGCAGTAACGGCAGAGAAGCGTACAAAAAAGCATGATGCACGGTGCAAACTTAATGTTTTGTTTAGTAAACTTGATGCTTGTTTGACGTTCTCATTGCCATCACCATTGTTGTTAATAAATCTCCCTATTAGGTAGTTTAGAACTTCAGTTACCGTCCTTGTTTAATAGTGATGGTCTATCATATACCTACTTGATTACCAAACATGATCTTATTATTATTAAATTCAGTTACAGCTGAACAGAGACATATGCATCTAACTACAAAATCCTTTCTTAACAGAGTTACTCCCTCATAGTTTCTTATCACCACTTGTCCATTTCAATTTATCATCCAACAGTACATGGTTATACCTGATCATGATGATCCCTGGTATCCTGGTTTAAAACTAAAGTGTGCATTGTTAAAGGCTATAAGAGGCTCAGTGGCTTATATCATGTAAATTTTTGAGTTTAGGGATTTTGGATGTATATGAAAGATCTGGTACAGTTTCAAATCCTGCTTTGTAGTGTTGATTTTAAAATATTTGATTTTCAAGAGTGGTCATCTTAGGTGCAGCTGGCAGTTATGTAGGAAATTCTGGCTTAAATATAAACCAACCTTAACAGCTTAACCTTCGTTACGTTTTTCACACATATTTGTTGATCATTTGAATAACAAACAATTTTTTTAACTTACTCTTTCTTTGTTACTGTCTTGAGGGCTAGAGGTGGTGTTACATGCCATAGCTGAAATCAAATAATATAGATGGTTGCTTACAGATGCCTACATAATACATACATAGCTGAACTACACTTAAGCACCTTTAGTTGACAGATATTGCTAAAAGAAAAGTGTAGATGGTTTTATTTATAGAATTCGAAACAGTTGATTCTTTCCTTGAAATTGGTTTTTCAATGTGAGGCACACAATATGCCTCACACACCCACATGAGTCTAGAGATAAGATATTACATGAATTTTTTCTGTTTTTTTCCCTCTTAGCACAAAGCTAGTATGTTCAAACATTGTTTGATTTTGCCAGAGAATATTACATCTCATTATTAGCCCATGCCTTCATATAATACTTTAGTAAATGGCAATTTCAGTATTTTGGGAAAGGTCTTATGCCGAAATTAGAGAAATATTATTAAAAGGCTGATGAAACCTGTGCCTGCCCCACACAGATGGAGGAAAAGCAAAAGACCTGAGCACTTCCGACAACTGAAGACTGTATGGTTGTTGTTTTGAAACTACAATAAGTCTTGAAACTTGGTTTAAAAGTCAACGATAATATTATTATTGTAGACATCAATTTCAGACTATGTTGGCATCCAATGAGCTATGCAGAGAATGTTTTTTTATTATAAAGTATGTCTAAGTGAGCGACTTTATATTGTAACCATGGACATAGTTCGCGGACTGACGGCTTTGTTTATGTTAGAGTTTAATTTGCCGATGCTACCATCCTGGGCCGAGTTCCTAGAAAGATGGTTAAGTTTAACCCAGGATTAAGCAAAATTTTAAGCACAGGTTTCTTGCTAACAGCATGTAACTCAAGCTTACAAAATGCTGTTCAGCCTTTACTCTTAGACACAGTAATGATTTACATAAAAATGATAATGATAATGATAATGTTTCTCTAAGCAATGTATAGGAAGGTAAATACAAAAAGTGGATCAAAATCTTAATAATGGAAGCGGGTCCTGTTTTGTTTCTTTAGTGTTTTATTCCAAATGTATTTTTACTTGAATAACATGACCCACTTTAATGGGGGCACTTTTCATGGCCCCATCAGTGTCTGTGTTCAAGGGATTTGACTGTATCTCTTTCTGCACGTGCTCAAACTTAAGAAGCTGATATTTTGCATCTAGAAAAGAGGGCCTTGCTTGACCTATAAACAGGTTTTTGGACAGTTTTAGCTCTTTATAACCTGACAGTGACCAGAAAATGTCTTGACTAGCTTCAATTCCTAGGGGTTTATGGTTTAATTTATGCTAAGTGGACAGCCTGTAGTGTTCATATCTCACCATCTATAAAGTCTCTTACTCTGTTTTCATCATTACATTTGCTTGACTACCACTACATTCTTGACGTTGACTAAATACAGGCCATTTTGCAGTCAAGACTCTTTGCATGTTTTTGTTGTATTACCTGACTCAAACATTTGCTAAGCATAAGTGACACTGATTATAATGTGTTGTTTGAGATTCCCGAAAATAAACATGAGAAATAATAGATCACTGATAACATGTAAAAACATTAAGTATCATTGCTTTTGTTTTGAACCCTTATAATAATGCATTTGTTTGAGATTCCAGAAAATGCATTGTCCTACTCATGACCCATAAACATAAGAAGTATTATTGTTATTGTGTTATCTGGTGGTTTACCTGTTTTGCGCCATGGAAGGTCACTCACACCATAGTCATATCGTAACTCAGTATTTGCCGGTATATCTTTCTTTGCAAATAGACATAAGTTGACCTTGTTGTTATGGGCAATTTTTTTCATGTGGCAGTTACTTTTAGTGGCTCTTTCATCATTCACAAGACGACCCAAACCTTCTGAGAATGTTGCATCATTACTAAAATATTGTAAGGACATTAACAACAGTTACAGTCAAGCCAGGTCAAGCTTACCCCCAAGATTCCATTAGTGAATTTATTATTTGAAAGTTGAATCTGTTGGTAGTTGTAGACGTCAGATTTATCTCTGCATTCTTGCATGAGTAATGAGCCGGGAATTCACACGCGAAGCAGTTACAAAATTTATAACAGCTTTTATACCAGATGTAAATGTCTTCTAAGAAATTTAATCCATTCAAAGATTTTCAATCTGACCAAATACAGAGAAGTGCTCGTAAAATATTCATTGCTCATTACACATGCAGGAATGCCAATTTGAATTTGACACCAGTTACGGGAACAACTATCAGATTCATTTTCCGAATAATCAATGCAGAAAAAGAATCCTAGGGGGTACGCTTGACCTGCCTTGACTGTAACTAGGTATTAGTAGAGCAGCAATGTTGTTCTAAGGTTTTGGTCTGCAGATTTCTTCACAGAAACATAACCTTTTTTCAAACTTAAAGGAGAAAGTGGTTTCATAATGAACTGCACCTTTGTTTATTCATGTTTTAACATTCTGACCAAACTTTCAGTCTCCATGAGTGTTCCTCTGATTAAAAGAAACTCATCTTTTTTGCCTGAAAATATATTAAACTGCTTTTGAAGACCCAGTTTTTGGCAGCCTAGCGACCTATATGTGACATCTTTCCACGCTTGAGAAACTTTTTGGTGGGCTTACTTAAACCATGCAGCTTAAAGTCCACAAAAGCTTAAGGTGGTTCGATGGGGGTTTTTTGGGTCAATACCTCCCAAGTTTGAGCATACACTATGTCACTATTAACAAAGATTGGGAAAAATTACCACTACAGCTGTATTAGATAAAGATGAAAATTTGTAATGATCAGGTTTACAATATAAAATGACATTGGAGTTGTCATGGCAACAAATGATGCCGTTACCTATTTTACTTGCAGCTGTATTTCTTGGCACTGGGAAGTACTATTTCAAAAACGAGTGCAAGGGTTTCATCAGGTTTCCAAACACGAGAAAACATTTGAAACATTTTATTGTTTTCAATCGTTTGGAAACCTGAGGAAACCCGAAGCACAAGTTTTTGAAATGACTTCTCCAAAGAAACAATACAAAATTATGCATTGTTGTATTTTTCCCATTTTTCTTTAACATGCCTTGTACATGTGATTTGTTGTATTCAGTCGGCATTCATTGTATTTTTGAGCTTTTGTTTTTAATTGCCCAATAGTTTCGCGTTGCACCAAATTTGTATTCGAAAAGCTTTATGAACTTGAAGTGATTTACATAATTATTGTTTTTGCTTTGAAAGAAGGGAGGTTTTCCTTCCCGAAAACAATCGAGGAAGAAGAACTTTGTGTAGAGAGAGCAGTACCGAAGTCTACCAGATATAAAAATAAGTGGGCAGTAGGCATTTTTGAGGATTGGCAATGAGTGCGAAGTGTAAAGTTTCCAATAGTCGAAATTGGTGGAGTTTTTAAAGAGTATGAATTGGACAAAGTTCAGTTGCTTACTCGGCCCGTAACAGAGATGGACGCATTGACGCTTAACTGTTTGTTATCCAAATTTTGTTCAAGAGGTGCCTATTCATGGTGGAAAAGAACTCAGCCATCGAGTTCAATCCCTTGGACTCTTCAGACAAAAGGTGCGTGAATTGGTGTTATTGGAGAGGGGTGCCATTTGATATTTTAAAACTTAAAGAAATTGCAGCGAATTTTTCTCTTTTCGTCATTAGATTTGCCATCTTCAGATGAATATTGGACGCAGACATGAAGGATGGGACTCGAGCTGGCATTGGTTTGAAAGCAAAACAAAAAGAAAAAGAGCCAGTCAGTTTGTAATTTGAAATGTCTTTCCTGGCCATTGTTTATTCAAAATTAATGATTTATGTTAAGCTGTGTTTGAGTGATCTATGAAGATGCTGATTAAGAACAATTTTACCACTAGTGATGAAAGCACGATGAAACACTAGTGATTTTCAACCGATGTGTCATTGAGTTTCAAAGTCACCCACCTGACCCGAATAGGGCACTCTGGTTGGCTTATAACGTCATGAATTATTAATAACTTTGAGAACTGTTCATCCAGAATGGTCCACAGGAGCTTTTTCCACCAAGGGAGACAATACCCCTGAATAATGAGAGGCTCTCACTTGTAAACACGAAACCTCTGACAAAAAAATGGTGAATTGTAGCGCTTTTTTTACTGCCTTAAAATATATCAATAATCTTCAAACTCAAAGGTCATATAAAATGGTGATTGGTCTTGAGAATCTCAAATTTAAAAAAAAATCTATACAGCAGTTTCAAAATAATTTGCTGGTTTGTTAACATGGTTAAAGTAGACCAAACAGTCTACAAAACTGCTAACAGGAGCGCCTCGATGACATACTTATCAAATCTTTCTTTCTAGCAATCGCCTAGAGCTATCTCCATGATCTTTCACACAAGCTTTTAAAAAGGTTGAAACTACTATGAGGTGAAATTGCATTTCAAAAGCACTTTGTTTTCTACAGATAACAGCTGAACATCGAGATTGTCCAGTTTTTACCATACATTTCTAACCACAAAACTTCTTTCCATCTTGATAACGCTCTCATAGATTTTGCTTAAAGTTCATTCAGTTATTGGAGGAAAAAGCTCCCGTGAACAATTTTGGATGAACAGTTCCCAGTGCCAGAAATACAGCTGCAAATTAAATACGCCATGGCCCCATTTTGTTGCTATAACAACTCCAATGTCATTGTAACCCTGATCATAACAAAGTTTCATCTTTATCTTATACAGCATTAGTGGTAATTTTTTTTTTGTGGTAAATCTTTGTTAATGGTGACTTAGTTTATGCTCAAACTTAGGAGTTTTTCAGCCTGAAAGACCCTATTGAGCCAACTTAATTTTAAGGAATTTTATAATACAGTGATAATTATTTTGATGATGATACATGTTAATGTACTGTACTTTCTTGCCTTGTTTTCACAAGTTAGGGGTTTTCTGATGATCAACAAATGTTAGATCCCATAAAAATAAATGTAACTACACAAGATCAGTCCTTAGACTTTAGTCCTTTAACCCATTTGTCTAGATTTCTGAATTGAAATAACTGCAAGCAATATTAACATGACTACCTTCTTCTTTACAGTGCCTAGGAAACAATAATTATTCTCTTTTAATGTAACTAAGTTCCTTTTTTTGCTGGTACAAATGTTCCCCTTGCAGTTTTGTAATGCTGGAGATAAAAAAAACTTACCAGTAGGTTTTTCCTTCCCATTGGAAGAAATACATAAAGCTTCCGTGATGTGGTAAATATTTGTTCTCTCTCTCTTCTGCCTCTTTCCTACCAACTATTTCCCCCCTGTACTCCAAGAGGAAGTCTCCGGACTTGAATTCTCTTGTGGTGAAAACCCCTTTTCCTTATAACAGCAAGAAAATATGTACATTAATATTTATTAGTTACTTTTCTGTTGGACTTTTTTTCATACAGTAACAAGCAGATTACAAAAAAAGAGATTCTCATGGGTGTTAATAACCATTTAACAGAAAAATCTGGTTGAGGTTCCCAGTGGCACAATGGTAAGCAATGTAGCAGTTTACTTTAATTTCTTAACACAGTTATGTTTTTTTTTTTTTAGTGTGTCAAGGCTGAGTCAAAATGATTATTCTGCAGTGGCCGGTCGAACAAATTTTAGCTCAGTCATGGCTCGTTTCTTACCAGTCAAAATATGACTGGCCAAACAAATTTTTGCTTGGTTGCGGCTTGTTTGCTACCGAACAAGATATAAAAAAACATTTGTATTAAACTAGTAACCAATTTAAGACAAAAATATGGCCTCATATGCTAATAAATTGTTGCAATGCAAAATGGGGGTTGTTATTTAAAGCATTTCACAATTATTCTTTAAGATATTAAAATGCAACAAACACAGAATTTCTTTCTTCCTTTTTTTTTTTCTTTGTTTGCGCGCTTGTTTGTCATCTCGAAATTATTTGTAGTCGCCCTCTACCTGAAGTAGCGTAATTATCTCATTTTAGTGAACTTTTTTTAATCTAATTGCCACATGATATTGCAAAATTCCAAGTACATTACTACTTTCCTGCAACCTTTGAACAGTAAATTACAGTGTGACTACTCGAACCAGGGCACTTGGAAGAAGATTATCCAATCACAACGTTTTTTGAAAACAAAACATTATTAAGGTTTTTTTGCAAATGGAGAACTAGCATTCATGAATTTGAGTGCTGTTTCTTAAGAGATCAGGTAAGTTCAAACGATTTGAAGTTTTTAACGGTTGCGTAGAGTTGAACCCTGAATTTTATCGGTCCATTTGCAAAAAAACTTGACAATCTTTTGTTTTCAAAAATGTCGTGATTGGATAATCTTCAAGTGCCCCGAGTAGATTTATTTATTTGAACTAGAAAATGAAGATTGATAAAACATTTTACCAATGTAATCGTTAATGAATCGTGACTCCAGGCCAGGCTGGTCCATGTTTTTTTCAATGTAGCCACAGGCAATATCCTTTGGTGATTTAATGTTTCCTTTCTGGTGTTAAAAAACATGCAATATTCAGTTACTGCACATTCATCAATATGCAAGCACAGAAGTTCAAAGGGCAAGCCTGTCAACCACTACAGCAGTCCCTCCAGAAAACATAAATATCTTGATTCTAAGGGGGTCCAAAGGTCAGTTCATGCACTTTGTCACCGCCATAAGTCAACCTGGTTGCTCTAACACATATTTAGTTCCATTCTCATCCCCATCTAACAAAATTATTATGTCATGAAATTGTGCAGCTACTGCACTTGGGTATTATCCTGGAACCTGCCCGAGCTCTCAAACCATAGGCCTGACAAAGAGGATTGCAGCTTTGAAGACAAGAATGATATAATTTTATTTGAAAATGCTTGTACTCATTACACAAATGTAGATGTTTGGTTAGTTTATCTTAAACCAGATCCCATGCCTGTGAACCAAGGTATGCGTTTGCTGGAACATACCCAACATTTTGTTCATCAAAACCGATAAACGACTTCAAACTTAGTTTGTATATCTGAAAACTTAATTGTGATTCAATTGTGACTGATGGGTTAAGGACCTCAACTTCCACCTATTTGCTCTTTGTTTGAAAGGCACTTACCAAAGACCTTGAAGACCTTGCATATTGTTTACCTATACAAAATATAATGATTAGGGTCAGATCAGACAAATAGTCTTTACACATTTATTGACAGAGTTAGACTAACTCGTTTAACCTGTTCTCTTTTCTTTTTATTTCTTAATCTCCATTCTCAGCTACTCTTACCTGGATTGAAACTGCCTCGTGAGAAGTTTGAACTTAAATAATGGATTGCACAGAAAATGCCAGTCTTTTGTCACTGGTGTAGCTCTCCTTCCATTGGCTACTGATTTATTTTTAATCTTCTGTTAACAACCGTCTCTATTTTTAATCCTGAAATGGTATCAATGCTACTAGCAATGCAAATCCTGCAATCCACCTTAATTAACAAGGGAGGGGTGTTTGTGGTAATTTTTAGGTAGGAGGTAATTTTTGTCATTGTTTTTGTTTTTGTTTTTGTTTTTTTTTGTAAACGTTGATTTTCAAACTTGATATTATATTCCCTGCAACACAGGTGCGACCATGCCAGAAGCAGCCCTTTCAGAGAATGTTTTTGGGGGTTAAATAGGTCCTCCTGTTTCAGAAGTGAAAACCCAGATTCACCATGTTGTGCGAAGACCACAGTCAAGTTTTCTTGTCCGTTTGTCAATACACTGTATACAGGACTTTTATTAATCACAAGAAAGATGGGAAACCTATGAGTACCAACATAGGAACCCAAATCCTTTTCCAATAGGCCATCTTTGTTGCCTGTGGTAACCTCTCATTCAAAGGGAGGGATTACATGCCCAACCTTTCATGAGAAAATTGGGTTTAAGTGCGTGCTAATGATGCAGGTTTTTAACATTGCCCAGTTAAAAGGTATTGGTAACTTGCAATGTAGCATGTTAGATAAACCAGCCCATGCAGCCTTGCAGCTAGTACTAGTGGTAGATAATGATGTATATAAACTTTCACTCTTCCAACAATATTGTCTGATTCTTACCTCCTTCTTGAGAAGCTCTGTCATATTCTTTCCCCTTAGGTGAACATGTCAAAAGAATATGAATATAATAAACAAAGTTAGTAGAAACGAGAATAAGAATAAACAGTCTTTAAATTTGATTATTGTTGTTATGTTGTCGTTCTCTAATAATGTGGTGATTGTCAATCAGATCAACAAAAAAATGTCTTGTGGAGCTCCTCCTTATTTTTCAAGGTGGATAACAAAAAAAATGGGCTTGAGTTACGTAATAAAGAAAGTGTATGATAGTGGAAGGGGTGAAAGTCATGAGGGGTTTTTGACAGTTTCAAGAAAGGGCAAGGTATCTAGTGAAAATATGGTGTTATCAATTTCTAATTTCATTTGATCAAATGTCAATGTTGCTATTTTGCTTACATTTTGCGGAATATACTTAAATTTGGAATTATTTTTCTCAAGATACGTGTCACGTAATCTGAAGGGGGAATCAAATGAACCATACACAATTCTTCACCCTTTTCATTTTCATGTTTTTTGCGGTTTTAAAAAAATGAAATGACTTACATTTTTATCCTCGTCTGTACTTAGTTTGACCCTCTTTTTCGTTCCTAGAAAAGGATGGATAGGAAGTGGTCATATGGACCGTTACATTTAATATCTGCACCCCCGCTATTGAGGGACTCGAAAATCTGAGGCGGGGAGGGGGCTCTTAGAGTTATTTCCGTGGGTGTAGCTATGTGGATCATGCCTTTGATCGCTAGAAATTGTTGGAGGGGCAAATGTGTCGGCACTTTGATCTTTCTTTCCTGAAGAGGTAAAATAAAAAAGTTTCTGAAGGGGTAAAATAAAAGTACCTCAAGAGAGGGGGTGCGGATATTAAATGGAATGGCCCTATGTAACAGACATCACCTCTTTACATTTCGAGTGGCGACGAATTTAAAAAAAATAAGTCTTAAGCTACACGCACCTTCATTGTGTATGCCAGCTGTCCCTTTCCTCTTGGTTTCTTTTTCGGTGATCTATTTTAAATAAAGACATTTTTAAACTTCCCTCGTACTTACCTCCATGTTGCAAGCCCTCCATTGGGGAATTGCAAGAAGTCACGCGAGAGCAGCACGCTAAATTTTCTTTAAATGGAGAAGTTTGATACAAATCAGATAAAAGCACCTCTTTCCTATATTAAGTAAAATTGATGAAGGGGTCAGTTGTTTGACCAAACATTGTAGCCTCCCCGCAGACGTCCTTTGAGGTTCGTTTGTCACGCATGAAATGAATGCGTGACAAACGAACCCCAAAGGATGTCTGCGGGGAGGCTACAAACATTGCGGATGAACACTGGCGTCTTGCCTGGACATTAGCACCGTGGGCTCAATTCAGTGTCGCAAGCGAGTGGCGTATGCCCGCGCTTCTATGCGTGAGTTCTTTTAGCGGTTATGTTTACTGTGTGGTTTTGTTTGATACTGGAGAGTGTCTCCTTTATAACATTGAGCTTATTAGTGTCAGCGATTCGCTCGGTGAATGGATTCGTTTGCTTGGAGGGAAATTTACAAGCCAAGTCTTCGGTGACTTGAGTGACGCTACTCCACGTGCGTACACAATCTACACATCACAGGTGAGCTTTCACTTTATACATTTAACAAGGTGGTTAGCCTGCAAAGACTTTCAAAATGTATTTTCTTTGTTCTATTTTCCTGAAAATTAATTTTGTTCTTACTAGGTTATACTACTGTCTTCGTTTTTTTACAGTAAAACAGGTCTTTTGCATTTGATAGCAACATTTGGCAAATGGTCGCCAATAGGCCTTTTGCAATGGATGGTCACAGTTCGCCTTTGGAAAATTTTGTTAGCAGGAACTGAAAGAGCGTGTTAGAATTAGGTAACCCGTAAATTTTCAGCCGCATATCTCAAAAGTAGCGATTGCAACGGCTGCCGGAAATAAAAAGGATCCGTGTGGGAAAAATAGTCGCCGCACAGGTAGCCCAAGCTCGAAATACATGAGCATCGTTGAAAGATAGCGACCTGAAAGATAACGACCTGGCGTGAGACTCAAATTACTCACACTCGGGGTGGGAAACAGTCTCTTGCTCTCATTGACATCAATACCCTTGAGAAGGACAACAACGGGAGCAAGAGACTATCTTCTACCCCAAGTGTGAGTAACAGGAAACATTTGTTGTGGGTTTTCTTTGTCTACCGAGCCACCCTCAGTGAAAAGAAATTTCACCTCAGACCAAGGCCTTGTCCACTCTAAAAATCACAGTGTCCGGAGAAAGAATGTATTTTGGACATGGTGCCAGAAAATGCTCATTACCAGCAACATGGGTGTGGCTATTTCC